GCATCAAAGACGAGAGCGCTAGGGGTAGCCATGATAGCAGTGGCAGCAGGCTAGGGGCAGCAGCAGTAGTAGCAACAGTAGGGGCGCGGCTCGGCGGTGCTCTTACCAGGGCAGGTGGGTAGAGTTCCACAAGTGGTGGGGCAGGGTCGAGGCGCGTCAGCAGGGACGGGGCCGCTACAGGGCGGCAGAGGAGCGCTGCTCCACTCTGCAAGGCAGGGCCGGGACAGCGGCGGCGGCCCCTGCTGTCGGCGACGGCGGCAGCTGCAGTCGGCGGCTGCGGCGGCTGCGGCCCCGGTTGTGGCGGCGGCGGCTGCGGCAGCTGCGGCCCCGGCAGTGGCGGCGGCGGCTGCTGTAAGTTAGCGGCACCGGTGGTGGTGGCTTCTGCTGCAGGGGCGGCGTCGGCTGCTGCTGCAGGGGCGGCGACGGCGGGGCGGCAGGTCAGTGAGGGAGCCGAGAAGGTGCCGCCAAGGGCGGCGACGGGGCCGCAAAGGGGCCGTGAGGGGTCGCGAAGGGTGGCGACGGGGCCGCAAAGGGGCCGTGAGGGGCCGCGAAGGGAGGCGACGGGGCCAAGAAGGGGCCGCAAAGGGCGGCTACGGGGCCGAGAAGGGCCGCGAGGGGCCGCGAAGGGCGGCGACGGGGCCGAGAAGGGCGGCGACGGGGCCGCGAAGGGCGGCGATGGGGCCTAGAAGGGGCCGCAAGGGGCCGCAAAGGGGCCGCGAGGGGCCGTAAGGGGCCACGAAGGGCCGTGAGCGGGGCCGTGAAGGGCCGCGTAGGGGCCGCGAGTGAGCCGTGAGGGGGGCGCGAGGGGCCGTAAGAGGGGCCGTAAGAGGGGCCGTAAGGGAGCACGACGGGCCGATAAGAGCAGGGGACGCGACGGGAGGGCAGGCACACGGGGCGCGACTCGGGCAGGAGCGAAGCGCGCTCCGGGCAGGAAAAAAATATTTCGATCGTGGTGGGCCCTAGGAAAAGTTCTCTCTAGGGAATCTGCTCTATACCATATGAAAGAACGAGGAATAAATGCACTAGGAAACAGATGGGTACAAGTAGGAAAACCTAAAAGTGTTGTACCCCATATTGTCTACCCCACTACAGCCTACATATACTATAGCATATAAGTTTGACAGTAGGAGCCATGAGTTTCAGCAGTCTATGTTCATTTCCGCGTCAGTCACACCGAAATAGCCATCTACAGCGAATCAAATATTCCCAACGCGCTGATTCGGTGCAGAAGTTCTGCAGCTGAACAACACACTATAAAGCACTAGGTGCCTCCAGGTTAAGCACCCCCACCTCACCCACAGCACTTAATTGAAAATTGACTCTAGCTTAGTTCAGCCTTAGTTTTTAAGTGAGGCTGATTAGTCAGCCTTTTTTTAACCAGGACACTGTTTTTTTCAGCTTTTTTTTAGGTACAACACAGACTGTTCAGCCTAGGCAAAAACAAATTTGAGGCCCTGATGTATAATGATAGAAGTTATTATAACAAGAGCATACGTGTGTTTATGTATGAAAAACAGGGAATACTAAACGGCATAGCTAACCATGTACTATAAGGGGTACATTCCTTATTGCAGCGAAATTTTACCGTGCGACACGGGAGCCCGTTTCAAACTGGTTCCCGCCTTTTCCCTTGGCAATGTAGCTGCCCGATGCTTATGCTGCTGACAATCCAGATCCTCCAACCGTACGCGACCCTTCGCATCATGCTGACGATTCGTCTTCGCTCTAGATTGTGCTTTCTCCTTGTTACGCACCGGAATTCTCATCACTTCCTTATCGTAAAAATATCCTCATCACTTTCTTTCTATGGTCTGTTTGGTTATAGCTCCTTGATTTTAGTTCTGCTCATTTCAGTTGTGAATTAACATCCTGCATAACACGTCATAGTCATAAACTCCTTGCTTTGTATTCTTACCTTGGGATTACACTGGGTACCGTTGTGTCGAGATTATTTCTCGGTCCAGGGGTGCTCTGGGTCTCAACGAATCAAACTCGGTCAGTGGTCAAAATGTTTTTTTTATTTTGGGACATAGGAAGGTTTGGCAAGGGTCTTCATGAGCTGTACAGTCAGGACGCGTCACAATTGCGACATTGATTCTGTTGGAGATCGATGTTCTGGGTGTACAAGAGTCGCAGTGTCTTGTATCCCGTTTTCATCACTGTTCGCGAAGACCCAACACACCTCACCGAACGCGATGTCCCTTCCATGTCGATCTGTCACCGTACGAAAACCTTACATATTGCAGTAAAAACTGATAAAAAGGCCTCTAACCCCGCTAACTATCGAACCTGAGGACGAACGCGGCACATCTGGCCCGGAGGAGATCGATTCTCACAGCTTCGGTACGTGACCGCGATTCTCCCTCGATGTCGCAATTGTGCGTGTCCTCAGTTGTTCCCTTCAAAGCAAAGCCTGAGGACGTGGTGCAGATCGTATGATCGATCGCCTCAGACGTCCGATCCGGTCGGGTCGGATCAGATTGCATGAGATTGCCCCAATCTTAGGCGATCTGTCGATTGCGTCCCGAGCCGCGCGATCATACGATGAATTTCGGGGAAGTAAATGTGAATCAGCCGCGAGGGCTTTGTGCAATTCACTCGTTTTGTTCCCTACATAGTTGGCGACACCTAGCGAAATTTTAAATCGCGCAATTACAGCGTAGCCCCTTTTGGGGGGCAAGCGCGTCTGGAAAGTCTGATATCGCGATATCCAATGGTGCTGCTAAAATTTTCGGCAGGAGGGTTACCGTTCGCATCTGTCGCTAAAACTCGCGATCCGAGGCAATCTGTCGATTGCAATCGTTCGCAAGAGATTGCGTCAGATCGAGTTGATCGATCGCAATCGATTGGATTCCCGATCGCAATCGACAGATTGCCCCCGATTGCATGCGATTGCCTCAAAATACTCCCGCGGCTTTCTATAAATGGTGGATCGCCCCAATCTGACGCAATCGCACGCAGATCAGGCCAATCTGTACCGCGTCCTAATAAGTTAATATGACGAAAAAAAAAAAAAAAAAAAAAAAAACGAAGTCGAATGTTCTTCGTCCCTTCTGTTGCATTGCCCGTTGGGCTGGTGCCGTGAGTGCGGGGTTGTTGCCTAAGGTACTTTCTTCTGTGGTTGTTTGAAGAGCTGGAGGAGAAAGAAGACTTTTTTTATCTCCGCCTCCATTCCCTACGGAGCTCTCACAGCACCTCATCCCTAGCCTGGCTCCTCCGTATTCACATCTGGTGAGCATGTCAAACAATGGTTATTAGGGTTTGTTCTTCGGGCCATCATCTGTCAGATAGATCCGTATTTGTTTTTTTTTTTTTTTTTCATAACCGCACCAGGCAGTTTTTCTTGGAGCATCTAAGAAAGTAACCTTTTTATTTTATTTTATGTCATGGTCTTCCACAGTGAAAATCGTTCAAGATGGCTGACGATCAGGGAGATATTTCCGCTCTTGTGTGCGACAACGGATCCGGTATGGTGAAGGTGAGTAGCATTGGCATTCTGGATTTATCGTTCTCACGACATCCGTCTAATTCACTGTGAGCCTTCTTTTCCAGGCCGGATTTGCTGGAGATGACGCTCCCCGTGCCGTGTTTCCCAGCATTGTTGGTCGTCCTCGCCATCAGGGTGTGATGGTTGGGATGGGACAGAAGGATGCCTACGTTGGTGATGAAGCCCAGTCCAAGCGTGGAATTTTGACGCTGAAGTATCCTATTGAGCACGGTGAGATAGACTTTTCTGCCGAATTAAGAACGCAGAACTTTTTGTTCTCGTTTGTGACCTTCGCGCATTTCGATTTTCCAGGTATTGTAACGAATTGGGACGACATGGAAAAGATTTGGCACCACACCTTTTACAATGAGCTTCGTGTCGCTCCAGAGGAGCATCCGGTGCTCTTGACTGAAGCTCCACTGAATCCCAAGGCTAATCGCGAGAAGATGACCCAGATTATGTTTGAGACTTTCAATGTGCCGGCAATGTACGTCGCCATTCAGGCTGTGCTCTCCCTGTACGCCAGCGGTCGTACCACTGGTAAGTCTTGCCTTTTTCTCCGCGCTGCTGCATTCGAATTATTGTTCAGCTGCTAAGCCCTTCTTTGGTTTCAGGTATTGTTCTCGATTCCGGTGATGGCGTGTCCCACACTGTCCCCATCTACGAGGGCTACGCTCTGCCGCACGCAATTCTCCGTTTGGATCTTGCCGGTCGTGATTTGACGGAGTACCTGGTTACGATCCTGACCGAGAGGGGTTACTCCTTCACCACATCTGCCGAGCGTGAAATTGTGAGGGACATCAAGGAGAAGCTCGCTTACGTTGCTATTGACTTCGAACAGGAGATGACGACTGCACAGGGCTCGTCTTCTGTGGAGAAGAGTTATGAGCTTCCCGACGGGCAGATGATTACTCTTGGTTCTGAGCGATTTAGGTGCCCAGAAGTGCTTTTCAACCCGTCGCTGGTTGGCAAGGAAGCCTCGGGTATCCATGAGACGTGCTACAACTGCATCATGAAGTGTGACGTCGATATCAGGAAGGATCTGTACGGCAACATTGTGCTCAGCGGTGGTACTACTATGTTCCCTGGAATTGCTGATCGCATGACCAAGGAAGTCACCGCTCTTGCTCCCAGCACCATGAAGATTAAGGTGGTTGCTCCACCTGAGCGGAAGTACAGTGTCTGGATCGGTGGATCCATTCTTGCGTCTCTGAGCACCTTCCAGCAGGTATGTGTTTCTGCATTTTTCGTGGCTCTATGCCTTTCTTGTTTTCTTTGAGCTGACTCTCCCTTTTGTGATGCAGATGTGGATTGCCAAGAGCGAGTATGATGAGGCCGGCCCATCCATTGTTCACAGGAAGTGCTTCTAGTACCTGTAGTAGTGGGGCAGCATTGGTGCATTTCCCGCACGATTGATCCCTTATTGCACTTCATGAACAGATCATTTAGTTTTATGTATGCTTGCTGGGTAGTTTGTGATCTTTCACGTTTCATTCACATGGGCAAGAAAAGTTTAGTCGAATAGAGGTCCAGAGTGACCTAAGAAGTCAGCAATGGCAGTCAGCAGCACATCTGGGTTTTCCTCTTGTGGGACATGGCCACACTCTTCCAGAATTACCAGCTTGGCATTACGCAATGCTGCTGCTACCCTCCTGGCGCTCCAGTGGGGAAGTATCTTATCTTGCCTACCTGCAACAACAAGGACTGTTCGGGATATGATGACGGGGGATGACAAATGTACGGTAATACAGAACCTGAATAACAGACCAGAATTGAACCATTAATTAGTAGAGGTACATGGATGAGTGCAGCAGTACCATTCGCGGGGTATGAGGGAGGGCAGCACCAAAAAAGGCATGTCAAGAGTCAAGACCACAAACTGAATGACTGCCATATTTACATCTCATGTAAACTCACTTAATATCTGTCCTACAATCTGACCTGAGCAGGGCCAGAGATTCGTTTTGAGGTTGGCTGATTGATCAGCCTCGGTCTGATGCAATCGATTGCAACCGATTGCAATCATTAGATTGGGTATGTTGGCGATTACACGCGAGTTGAAACCACAGTCACTGAGGTTCGCTTCTGCTCGCTGCTACAGAACATCTCGCGACAGTCAAACTTGTAATGGGGCTACCCTGTAATTGTACAATACAAATGGTCGCTAAGTTTCGCCAACTTTGAGGTGGAAGGGACATACAACTCGCCTGGAAGGCGCGGTTGAGATTCCGCCCTGTTGCGTAGAGAAATATTTGTCAGACGCGTGGCGCGGGATGCGTATCGATGATTGCGTCAGATCAGGGCAGTCATACCCATTCGATTCCGATCTGATCCAATCGACCACCGATTGCGTGAGATCGGAGCGATCTGCACCACGTCCTTACACACCTCCTCCTTGGCAGTAACAACCTCAATACCCTTTCCAACATTTTGAAAAAAAATCAGGTCAAGGCCCCCCTATAGAAATAATTGAGAAAAACTCTCACCACACGGACGCGACACACTGTGCCGAGCTTCTGACTCTCCTGCCCAACCGTATTGAATTCATCTCACCTGCCTCGGCCCGTCCGACATAGCAAATAGCACTTACCGTACATCCAGGGTGCAGTAGCAGGAGCTGTCTTAAAACACCACCATACCACCTCCACCATGGTCTTTGGAAGAGAGCGCACACAAACTCAGTAAAACAGGTGCACTTGTGACAAAACAGTGGATATACGCGAAGAAACAGGATATAGATGCACTTTGCAAAATAATAGAATACACTTGTATCCAATGGGGTGAATTACCCGATACTCTGAACCAGACCCCCTTCCTTTGGGTCAACCTTAGACGAAGCAGATACAGAAGAAGCAGATCCAGACGAATTATTGACTCACAGACAATGTAAGCCGCCCCTGAGCTCCACACCCACTGTGCGGCCAAATTCGAGGCCAGCCTTGGAACTGGTCGCAGTGCTATTGAACGTTGAGCCCTCTCGACTATATTGAAGCCAAGACAGCTTCAGCTGCTGGTCCCACCTCTCCACACACCATGCTCAGAACCTCGACGCACCATAATTTGAGACTCTACACCATTAGCCTATGAGCTGCCTCCCTACCCCCCTACATCATCCTGACGACAAAGCAGCGTGGCTCCTGGCCCATACCTGTCTGTCATATGTGCACTCAAACGCCATTTTCCCTTGACCTTATGGGCATGTTTGCAATGCAGGGCGAAAAGCAAATGTCGTTCTAAATTGTTCTCATGGAGGGTTTTATGACGGCATACAGACACTTTCGAGTACTTGGTTCTAATCTAACTAAACGCAGGTGGTAGAGCGAACCTAGAAGGTAAGTGGATGTAAGCAATAGTTCTGTGACAGGAAAGGAGGGCACGTGACAGGAAAGGAGAGCAAGGGAGAGGAAAGTGAAGCATGTGAGAGGAAAGCAGTGGCACGCACCTGGGAGGTTAAGTGCATGCAGCTTGGTGGCCGTGTTGGGGTTGAGCGTGGCTGCTACTGTGAACTCTATCAGCGCCCTGTCCCAGTTGCGACACGCCAGGGGCTGCCGTGGAACAGGCAAGAGGGAAGGGGAAGGGAGGGGAGGGAGAGGAGGACAAGCAAGGCACACAATTGAAGTGGAGAGAACGAAGAGAATGGAAGTGGGGGCAAGAAGGCGTGGCGAGGGGATGAGGAGATGAAGGGATGAGGGGATAGGGTGAGGGGAGGGGCGAGGTTAGGGAAGACACAATGTTGTGCAGTGGTGACGACTGCAGTCGTAGTTGGGACGCATGCATGCAGCTGTGGCGACTGGGGGCAGCTATTGAGGACCATATGGGTGCGGTGCAGAGAGGACGTGGCAGAGAGGAGGTACCTAGGAGCAGAGTGGACGTACCTTGGTGTAACCATCAACAATGGCTGGCGAGCAGAGGGACGGATTACTCCATGCCTGCTTGACTGCTGCCACTCCCACGGTGCCCATCACTGCTCGCACCTGGTGTGCGCGTGTGAGAGGAGGTGTGTTGGATGTAGAGCCGGGAGAGAGAAGCGGGAGGAGACGAAGAGAGGGGTTGAGAGAGCAGCGGAAGGTAACCAGGCACACTGCAGCAGCCCATGAGTGCACATGCATGCACATACACATCTACATGTACATGCACATGCATGTGGAGGTGACAGGGATGTTTTGCAGGTGTAGCAGCATGTGAAGGTAGCTCTGTGCATCTGATGTCATGAATGGGCGCACATGGCCACATGGGTTCTTCACATGGTGTGGCATGGCATGGCATGGCACAGCATGGCACAACATGGCATGGCACAGCATGGCACAACATGGCATGGCACAACATGGCATGGCACAACATGGCATGGCATGGAATGTGATGGCACAAAGCCCTACTCGCCTGTCTCCTGAACAGCGCCACACCACATCGCACCGTACTGCACTGCACTGCATTACCGTCTGCCTCTCCTTATCCACTGTCTGACCAAACCCACCCATCCCTCCTCCCCAGTACCCAGAAAATGCATGTGTACCCTAAGCAACTCAGAATGTGGGGAGCGAATGTGGGGAGCGAAGATCGGGAGAGACAGCGGGGAGCAAGTGTTGGGATTGAGTGTGTACCATGAGTCGCATGAGCTCGCATCGCAACACGAGAGCAGCGAGGGCGGAGGGCAGGTGGGGCGAGCAGGTGAGGGCTGCCAGGAGCGATGCAGAGAAGGATGAGAGGGAGGAGAGGAGGAGGGCGAGGTGGAGAGCGAGGAGGAAGGGGAGAGCGACGGTGAGAGTGAGGGCGAAGTGAGCACATGCACCAGCAGCTCCTAATACACTTCCACGCTCGCTGCTGCCACCGCCGCTGCCGCCGCCGCCGCTGCTGCTGCTGCTGGCGGTGCTATCTGTGGTGGGGGCGTTAGAGTAAGCGACAGCACGGAGTGGCAGTGGTGCGGAACGAAGCAGTGCAAAGAAGGGTTGCAGCAGGAGGGTCATAGAGGCCACGGCCACAGCGGCAGCAGCAACAGCAGCCGTGCACGCGGTGACAGTGAGACGAGTGAGCGAGAGCAGCAGGAGCAGCAGGCGGGAGAGAGCGAGAGATGCAAGGCAGCATGCCACAGCCACAAGCCGACCAACGCCCCCCCGTTTGGCCCCGCCATCCCTTGCTTCTTCCCCCCCTTCTTCTGCTCCTCCTGCTTCTCCTGCTCCTCCTGCTCCTTCTTTCCCCTCTCCTAACCCTGCCTCTCCCTCGTTTCCTCCTGCAGCCTCTCCCGCAGAGTGGTGATCAGCAGCGCGAGGAGGCGATGAGGAGGGGGGCGATCGGGTGCGGGGCGGCAGCAGGGGCAGCACGAGGGCAGGTGCGATGAGGACGAGGGCAGAGAAGAGATCGGGGCGGGCGAGAGCTGCCTCTATGGCTGGCAGACAGCCCGCCGAGTGGCTGGGGGCGGGGCAGGGAGAGAGGTAGGAAGCGAGGGGTGGAGGATAGGGTGGGAGGGAGGGAAGGGCGGAGGGGGATGGGAGGGGGAGGGGAGCAACAGGAGGGGAGGTGATGGAGGAGTCGGTATGGCATGGCATGGCATGGCATGGCATGATTTGGCATGGTAGTGGATGGGATGGTATGGCATGACATGGTACGGCATGACATGGTACGGCATTACATGACATGATTCACGACAACATGTCATACCATATGAAGGTGCAAGCACTACAGCAGTGAAGGTGCAAGCACTACAGCAGTGTGCAGCACTACAGCAGTGTGCAGCACTACAGCAGTGTGCAGCACCAGACCCCACGTCCTCTCAAACACCCCTTTCCCACCCATTCCCCCGTCCCCTTACACTCACCCAACAAGCACCACCCTTCCCGGCCCCCTCTCCTTGCCGCCTCCCTCATTCCCCTCCTCCCCAATCACTTCCCCCCCAAACGCCTCTGCTCCCCCTGCTTCCTTTGGATTTTTGTTCCCCTCCGCCCCCTGTGCTGGGTGCAGCGGGCCATGCAGCAGGGAGTGTGCGAGGGCAATGGTGGCATCTCGGCTGTACGCCAGGCTGTAGGGCGAGGGGTGCCAAGGGGAGGGAGATGCAGAGGCAGGGGCAGAGACAGAGGCAGAGGCAGAGGCAGGGAGGGGGGAGGGGGGCGGGCGGGCAGAGAGGCCGAAGGCGGGGCGGTCGAAGGAGAGGGATGGGGAGCGCAGACGGTCGGAGAGGTGCTGCTGCAGGCGGTGGAAGGAGAAGAGCGACGCGCCGAAGCCGTGTAGCAGCAGCGTGGGATGCGGCGAGGGGCAGGACGGCAGGGGTGGTGGCGCTGGTGGTGGCGCCGATGGGGTTGGGGATTGGGATGGGGATGGGGTTGATGATGGCGATGGCGATGGCGTTGTGAGCTTGGCATGCAGCATGACGCCGTGCACGGAGAGGAAGGTGCTGTGTGGGTCTGCGAGGGCACGCGGGTCGTCCACCAGCGCTGATGGGTGCTGTGGTATGCCTGCCACTGGTGGTGCTGATGTGCTGCTGCTGCTGGTGCAGGGAAGAACACACACATGCACACGCCCACACACACACGCATGCACGTGACAACAACAGAGGGGTGCGCACACGGAGAGCACACGGTCTGCTGAGAATCCGCTGCGAGGCGGTAAAGGCAAGGCGAGACGAAGGAGCAAGCGAGCATGCAGTTCGTGAACACAGACTCCTCCACACACGCTCACACATGCTCCTGTTGATGCGTGTGCTGTGGGGCAGCAACACGTTCACGCACATGTGCACAGGAGCAAAGGAGCACAGGAGCGCGGATATGGAATGGACAGCCCAGACGCCATACCAGCTGCCAATCCACTGCACCCTCCACTCCCTCTCTCACTTTCACTCTCCCTTCCCCGCCCTAGCTCTCCTCCCAGACTCTCTCGCTCGCTCTTTCCTTCCCCATTTCTTTCCCTTTCTCCCGTTATCTGCCTCCCCTAGCTACAGACCGATTCCCATCTCCATCTCGATGCTCACCTCCACTCCTCATCCTTTCCCTGCCACGAATCCGCCCATGTGTCTCGCACTCTACCCCCGCTTCTCCCCCCTCTCTCATCCCCTGTCTCCTCCTCCCCCCATCCCTCCCACCACCACCGCCACCTGCCTTCCAACTCCCCCCATCCCTGCGCCGCATCTCCGCCCCCCACTTCCCCCGCTGCTGCCCTGCATCCGCGCTTCAATCCGCGCGCGGGACTGAATCTTCCGCCGCTGCTATCCAGCCCCTCGCCTCTCCCCCATTTCGCAAGCACTCCCCGCAACCGTGGGCCTTCCGCGCTATGCGCTCGAACCCCGCCACCGCCGCGCAGAGATGGCGCGGCGGTCGTGTGGCGCGCGGGCCGCGCCCATTCCGCGCTCCGCTGCGCCTTCGGCGGTGGGCTGAATGCGGCGCGCGGCCTCGCCGAGGCCGCGAGCAGGCGAGGGGAGCAAAACGAGGGGCGAGAGGGGAACGGTTGTGGCACGGCATGGGGGCAGTTCGGGAGCGGCGCGGGACGGCGGCAGTGTGGAAATGACATTGCGGTAACGGACGCCATGGCTCGCTCTAAAGTGAAGAGCAGACGCCGTGGAGTGCGGGATTGGATCGTTGGTGCTTGTGGCACGCGACCAATCTAAATTACTGTCAGAATAACCTCGATTCAAATCTGCTCGCTAAGAGCAACCCAACAAATGAAGTCATATCAAACTATGAAGCCACCATTAGCTTGAAACTGTCAAGGCTAAGGGTCAAGTACCGTACAAAATCACTATCTACACATTCTAGGAAATAATTAGCTCAAAAGCGCATCTAAACACACACATAAATCCTACAGCTTGACTGAAAGAGCATTCTAAAAGCAGCGATAACTACCGGTGGGTTGTGGCGTAAGCCAGTCAAGAGTGTCTGTAACGGTGCGATCCATAAACGCCCCTCTGAGTGGGCTAATGGTCGGACTCTTATTGCATGAGCATCACAGCAACGCATGATGCGGGTGGCAGGGGGTGGTGCCCTTGTGCCCAACTTGGAGGGCGGTGGTGGGGCAATGCAGACAGTCGCTTGGACGAGTGGTCGGGGATGGCGGTGGCGGCAGTGCGGTGGATGGATGGCACAGAGCATGGGGCATGACATGTGGGGCATGACGTGTGGGGCATGACGCGTGGGGCAAGGAAAATGGAGCATGAAGCATGGGGCATAGAGGTGGGGCATGGAGCGCGGTGCGTAGAGCATGGTGCTGGCGCATGAGGCATGGAGCATGGGTATGGGGCGTGGAACATGGAGCATGGGTATGGGGCGTGGAACATGGAGCATGGGTATGGGGCGTGGAACATGGAGCATGGGCATGGAGCGTGGAGAACGGAGCATGGAGTTGAGATCATGAGGCATGCAGCATGGGGCGAAAAGCATGGATCATGGGCGATGGGGCATGGGCGATGGGGCATGGGCAACGGGGCATGGGCGATTGGGCATGAGGCATGAGGCATCAGCTATGGGGCATGGGGCATGGAGAAAGCCGAGTCGCCCCACAGCATGGCATGCAGCACACGTCTGTCCGACCGTCCGATCACTCCACGCTCTTCACGAGCACCGCACCACACCGCACCCCACCGCCTCACTGCACCGCACAGCACCTCACAGCGGTCTGATGCCGGAGGCAGCAGCGTGCATGGCATCGGCGTGCAGCAGGAACATGGGCAGCGAGTGCTTGGCGTTGCGCCCCGCGCGCACGTACGCGTGCAGCGCCGCCTCCATCTTCACCACGTGCGACCACATGCCGCGCGCCACGCCCATCTTGGCGATGTTGCGCGACACCCCCGAGTCCTCCGCGTGGATCGTCACAATGTCGCACGCCTGCTCCGCGCAACCCGCCGATTCCCCGCAACAACCACTCTCCTGCCTCTCCTCCGCTTCCCCCCGGCCTGCCACCCCTTCCGGCAGCCGCGACTCCCCGCATTTGCTTTCCCCACACTCTTCCCCGCTCGCCTGCCTCCAAAACACGCCGCTCCCCCCCCCGGTGTTTCCGGGATGCGCCTGGCGGCGCGCGGGCTTTACCTTGGATGCTTGCGCAGTCCCCTGCGCAGGGGGCCAGATGGCGGATATTTGTTGCGCGTTGGTGACGGCGGCGACGCGCCACTTGGACGTTAAGGCGGACACGCGGAGGAGGTTGGCGCGCGGGGGCGCGGAGGGGTGCGTGGTGAGCTTCGAGATGCAGTGGTACGTGTGCGACCGCAGCGACCACACGCGACGCGCGACGACGTACTCGCGGTCGCGCAGGAAGAAGGGGAACTTGCGCACCCAGCGCGCGACGCACTCGCCGCGCGGGTCCCACTCCTCCAGCATCTGGCTGCCCTGCGCGCGCGTGTCGTCCCACTCCGCGCGGTAATCCTCGTCCAGGAAAAAGTCCCGCGCCGCCTCCGCGCTGCACTCGCGGATCACCATGTGGCAGCGGTACACCGTCGGTCCGCCGTCGGGGGGATCCCGCGACCACGCGCGACACGAGAGGCGGTCCGTCTTGCGGCTGAGCGTCTGACGCCAGCCGGCTTTGGCGAGATCGTCGTCGTCGATTTCCAGATCTTGAATGAAGCCATGGAGATCAGCCAGCGTTACTACCTGCTCCTCGCCGTCATTCGCGGCGCCTTTAATATACTGCCGCGGCTCGTCTTTCCCCCCATCCCGCTCCTCGCACCCAATCACCAAGTCCGAGTCTTGCCCCACGCGCTGCCGGGCTCCCCCGCCGACGCCTCCCAGCCGCATGGCCCACTGCGCGAGGGTGCCACCGCCGGCGGCGGTGGGCGGAGTGCAGCCGCCAACCATGACGTCGCGGAAGTCGGGCTCGCAGTCGCGCCACTCCGAGTCAGTACTGGTCGACGCGTCCTCCTCCTCCTCCTCGCCCTCCGCGTGCCGATGCGTCCATCGCTCCCACTCGTCCCGCTCCGATTCGAAACCAGCCTCTTCCTCCTCCTCCTCCCCATGCGCCGCCGCAGCTGCAGCTTCGCGCTCCGCCTTGGCGACGGCTAGCCGGCGCTTCTCCGCGCGGGCGTGGGCGAGAGTGCGGAGCGAGGCGAGGTGACCGGAGGCGTGCAACGACGCGAGGAACTCTTCGAGTTGCCAGTCCAAGGACGGATACACCACCGGGCCCGGCGGCCGGTACGCCGCGTTCCCGCTCATAGCTGCTGAACGCGGACCAAGACGCCGACCCGCGACGCGAGAGAATCAACTACCCAAAGCTTTTGCGTGATAGGGACGGAGAGGTTCTCAATGCTCGAAACCACGACGGACCAGAAAGATCCAGACCTGGAGTGCCTACAATGCCTTATCCTCAGGAAGTGTCGGGGTACCTGGTCGTTTCGTACTGACGCTGGGAATCGAAGATCTAGCATCGAGCGTGGCGGCGGGAATCATGGTCGGCTTGAAGCGTTGGCTCCGTTGAAGCCGCCAAGGGACCAGCAGGAAGGTTGGGTGAAGAGCGGCCAAGTGCGGTGTAGACACCCAGAGGCTGGTCTCCTAAGGGCGTGTCCAGGGCGTACACTTTCGGATTTTTACACAATTTTGACGTATTTCGGATCACGCGCAGAAATGGTACTGCCAGGTGTACCTTAAAAGTCCTGGGTCCAAAAAACAGCGGGACGACACAATTCGCCTCTCAGCGCAACTGGAACAGCAAGTTGCGCGACAGTGGCGACAGTACTACTCTGTAACCAGAAGGGTTGGAATTTGCCCCCTTGAATTCCGCGAAATTCAAAGTGGCCTGGCGAAATTTAGGGATGGACCTCGCTGAATGTGGAACTGTTGAGATTCAGACTCGTACATTCAAAAAATATGGTGCCAGTTACGTGCGTTGCGCGTCATGTTCACAAGTCGACGGACGTGTGTGATATTTCCGTAATTTACGCTCCAGGGGTGTACGATGTCCAAAAATTATGTGAAAATGTGGTTACATTCAAAAAATAAAGTAACTGTTGCGGCACATGTAGTGTAAACGTATGCGCTGGACACGCCCTAAACGCACCAGCTGTCCGGCGCGCAATTGTGGTTTGGAATGGAGAACGCGCGAGGATTGGTGTTGTGCCGTGGTGGCCCATGGGTTAGGATGAGCGTGTGAGCTAGCGAACGGGGAGGGAGGAGCTGAAAGATGCACTCTGAGAAAGCGGGGTTGGGGGAGGGAGAATATTGTTTCCTGCATACGATTGGGTGAGAAGCTGAAGAAGCAGGCGTTAGCGAATGGCGTGCAATTTGCGCGGGCAAGTGGAGACTCCCAAGACTGGTTGGGGGAAGCGGGCAGCCAGTGTGGTGCCTGACTGGTGCGCGGGAAAATACTGGTCGTTGGTCCAGTCGCCATACTAGCGATGGGCTTAGCACGTGCCCTCGCAGAAAGCAATCTGGCGGCGATCCTTCGCTGACGACTGATGTCCTTCCATAAAGCAGAAACTAGCGAGGCCTTGCGACGACGTGGATTTGTGGTGGTCGCACAATGCACGACGGAAGGCGATTGGATGCGGAAGAACCGGACGTCCGCCGTACTGCGTAGCGGCTACTCAACCATAGGTTTCTCTGCTACATTGCTCATTTACCATTACCTTACTGTAAGGAAAATTCCTTTTCCTTACTTCGTGTCCCCGCTCAGCGCGTACACCACTGTAGCACCACAGTCAGCACCGTTACCACTCGTAACCCTCGCATCGACAATCCTCCCGCCACCTTCGCACGTCGCACCCCGACCTCACGGCTCGGCGGGTAACCCGCGATCCGTGCCTACGCTTCGAAATTTCCCCAAACCTCAATCACAGGCCCGTCGCGCGACAACCATAGTCCATTACCGTTACCACTGTAGTTTCGCTAAATATTCTTCGCTCATGCCTTTGCCCATTGTACTCTTGCTTCGATAGTGCAATTCTCGCTCGATCACTCAATTGCACTCGTAACACTTGGTATCACAGCCTACGATCTCTTCTCGGACCGCACCGACACCTCCGCTTCCCCACTATCTCATTTTTTGGGGGGGGGTAGACGTCTCTCAGTGACACAGCACCGCCGCTCGTAAGGCTCTCTCGTAAGCACGCGCGGCCATGACAGAGGCTCTCGCTGAGCTTGCCCGACACCCCCGCCATGGCCGAATTTACTCTCGCGACACTGTTGCATGAGCAACTCGACCGTCTCGTGCGCCAAGTTGAAGAATCGGCGCTCAAAATTGCGACGCTCACGGCGGAACGTGACTCCGCGCGTCAGCAATCCACGGTGAATACTCCGACGCCACCACACGCACCTAAAAATGCACCTGCACAATCAGAGGAATCGATCGTCATTTCATCAGGCACACCAACACAGAACGACAACGTGGGACAGCGCTCAGGCGCTGTCACTGATCGCGTCGCCCACTCGATGCCGGACATGGAGAGGAACAGGGTCGCGCCAAGCCCACGGGAGCCTAGCGAAGCCCATCGGCACGTGGAATTTGCGGCGACAAGTGGCGACCACGCCATCATGACGCCAATGCCACTGAAGCAGCAGCGTCCGCCCTGTTTCGACCCGAGTCAGCGCGGAGGTCCGACGGTTCAGTCGTGGGTCTTCACGATGAACGTATTTTTCGACGCAAACTACGTCGAGCCGGATGCGGCGAAGATCATATACAACGTCTCGCTGCTGAGGGGCCCCGCCATGGACTGGTGGCGAGTCATCGTGACGTCGCCACGCGCCTACGAGCCACCGTCGCAAGAGGAAGGGCCCACGGGTCCAGCTGTCACCTGGAGTTCATTCTGCGAAACCGACCAGTACAAAACGTGGGATGGGTGGTGCGCAGGGCTTCGAGCGCGCTTCGAGCCAATCGCGGCTTCTATTTCGGCGCGTCAGAGACTTCGTACTTGGTGGCAGCTCGAGTCGGTTCAAGACTACCCGAGCGGTTTTCTCGCATTATTCGAGCAAGTCGGCTACATGCACGAAGCGGAGCGGGTGGACCGATACGTAGGAGGGCTGAAGTCGAACATTTCGTACGAAATCATGCTACGCGGACTCTCGAATTTCAACGAGATTCTCGCGCTCGCCAAGAAAATCTACATTTTGCGCCGTCCGAGACCGGGGTCCTACTACGGACATCGCCCTCGGGGACTGATCAAGCACGCCACCGTACATGCCGTTGCGACGAATGCAGCTGCCGCGCCGTTTAAGGGGCGCTGCTTTGCTTGCAATAGGCCGGGCCATCGCAAGAGCGAATGCCCAGAGGAGCTGAGGCGCCGCGGAGCAGAGCAGGGGAGGGAGTCTCCAAGGCAGGGAAACGCAAGCAGTCAGTAGGAATCGGGCCAACTACTGACGAGACTGCCTGCTCGCCCAACCCCACCGACCCTCACCAAGTCACAGTACCGATTGATGCTATCGATCGGGCTCGGACGAATAAGGAGGGTACAGCGACGGATTGCCCAGTACTGATCCACGGGAAAATACAGGGAGCAGCAGTGAAGATTTTTATCGACGGAGGAGCAAGCCACAGTTTAGTTAATACCGCAACCGCACGAAAACTGCAACTGACACTTAGCCGTTGTTTACCTGAGATAGACGCACGCTTAGTCGACGGCATGCCACTGGCCATACGGGAAAGGGTGGAGAGAGTCAAAGTCCACTGCGGGGGGAATTTCGGGTTTACACAGGAAATGCTCGCAACGACACTAGATGGGCACGACATTTTACTGGGACGCGATTGGCTGCCACGGTATAACCCGCGAATTGACTGGACGACGGGTAGCTACACTGTGCGAAGTAGCGGTAACTAGGTTGAACTACCGCGCTAGCAGTCGCCCGAGTCTTCAACGGTACATGCAACGCTGTCACCATGAAACGAGCTGTCGCTGCTGGAGCTGACGTGTACGCAGTGTGAGAATGAGAATGAGAGAATGATGGTGAACTATGAATGAAGCGAGTACAAATATGAAACCCTAGTTGGGTTGTACCCCCTATGGGATACCCCACTATAGCCTACACAATAGCATCAGCTATAATGTTCTGACACACCCCCATAGGCAAAGTGGGGGAGAACAAGGGGTCACAAGACCAGTCAAGCAAAGCAAAGCAAAGCTCAGGGTGGATCACAAAGTCACCACACATTCCGAGCACAAGTTCAAAGGCCAAAAGGCCAGTTCACATGCAAGAGCACATATATATATATATAGACGAGGCTAAGCAAGCAAGAGCAGAAGTATATATATGTGACAGTACAAGCAAGGTCAAGAAGTGAGCAAGTGAGGCAAGACAGGCACAAGACCCAGCTGAGTGCAGAAGCGCTGATGGTCACAAGGCGCAAGTGCCTTGGTGAAAACATCAGCAGTGTTGGCCTCAGAGGCCACGTACGCAAGCCGCAACTGTCCACGCTGCTGTAGCTCACGAGCAAGAAAGTAACGGAGAGCAATGTGCTTTGTCCTGTGCTCCAGTCGCTGCTCTCGACACAAGGCCAGCATGGCCTTGTTGTCTACGTACAGGACTGGAGGAGAACGAGGCGGCTCTCCAAGGTCGGTCAGCAGGTAGGTGAGCCAGCGAAGCTCCTGGGCAGCCATAGCCCCGGCGTAGATCTCAGCCTCACAACTGGAGCCGAGAACAGAAGACGAGCGGGTAGCCCGCCACAAAACAGAGCCGGAACCAAGACTAAAGATGTAACCCTGTGACGACCGCTGCGTAGCCTGGTCGTCAGCCCAAGAAGCGTTCGCGTGCCCAGTGAGGACCACTGGACTCCGCCCTCCAAGCACTAGCCCCATGCCCGACGTACTGCACAAGTAGCGCAACACCATCTTTGCTGCAGCCATGTGCTCTGGTCGGTGTCTCCCAGGAGCAACATAGCGTGCAAGAATGCTAAGAGGGTATGCAAGGTCAGGTCGTGTGCAGGTCATCAGGTACATGAGGCAGCCAACAAGCTCTGGATACGGGCCACTCGACTCTACGGACTCATCCGAAGGCAGAGCTGAGAGTGAGTGGCGAGTAGGCAGAGGAGTGGCCTGAGGCGAGGATTACGTGAAGCCGAAGCGCTGAAGGACCTGCTGCACCATGTGTGACTGAGTCAGGGTAATGGTGCGGCGTGCTCTGTCCCGGGTGATCTGCAAGCCAAGGTAGCTGCGCAGTTCACCCAGGTCTGTGCACGTGTGTCGCTTCTGCAACTCGGACTTCACGTAGGCAAGTCTAGCAGTGTCAGC